TGGACAGTGTCTCACTATGTGCATGAACCGCAGTCTGTGCGTCCCTTTATCCTCATTTGACTCCCTGTGGGACTCCGCTTGCTTCCTGGTTATGAAGAGCAGCTGTGAACACGGAAGTCTCCTCGATATTCGGCATTTATTTCCTCAAATGCCCTGAGCGGAAGGGCTGGGTTCTGAGGTAGACCAAGTTTTGGTTTTCCGTGTGGATCCACTCTGCTCTTCCTGACTTACACTGCCGCAGCGGTGCCTAGGAATGCCGCTCGCGCTGCCTCCTCCCCAGTATTTAGGTTAGGTTTTCCCTTTCTGATAATATTTTTGCGACTCCTGAGATGCTGTTTCACATAGTTGCGATCTTGGTTTTCTTGAAGGCTAGCAACGTTGCTATCTTTTCTCATATTTGGCCATTTGCGCTTCTTCTGAGAAGCGTCCAGATGATTTGCCCATTTTCATTTATTTTTTTGGCTTTTTTCCAGACTTCTGGGCTTCCTTGGAGGCTGATCCTCTGGGGATGAGAGGCGTGGGGTGCTCTGTCCCGTCCTGTGGTGGTCACTTTCCTCACTCACGCTCCTCTGGCTGCGTGGGGGGCTCTTGGGCTGACAGCACGCTGCTGTGTCAGATGCAGGAGTCCATCAGCTGCGCCCATGTCTTACTGTGTCTCTCCAAGCTGTGTCCTTATCTGAAGGCCTTTGATCCGTGCTCGGCTGATTCTCGTAGAAAGCGAGAAGTGGGGGTCGGGTCTCCCCTCCTGCTTTGTAGTCCCAGGCCTCCAGCATCATTCAGTGGCTGTGTGCGCTGTGGGTGTCGTAGCTGAGGTCAGCTGGCCCGGGTGCGTGGGCCCACGCCCGGCACCTCTGTGATGGTGCCCCAGTCTCCACATTGTGTGTGTGTTTTAAGATTGATTTTATTTATTTGGTACAGGGTCTCACTATGCAGCTTGGACTCATGGTGATCCTCCTGCCTCAGCCTCCCCAGCGCTGGGACTACAGGTGTGTGCCCCCACGCCCGGTTTCAGTGGTCACATGGTGTGTTAGTGGTCTGACAGTGGCCTGCTGGGCAGGCACTTAGACCAGGAGCCATCTCCATGTCCCCTCTGCACTGGTTTTCGTGCCACTCACCTGCTGCTTGGTGACAACCACTCTCCAGGAAGTCTTGGCCTCAGATACTGTGGTGCCTAATGCTCTCGTTTTCTGCTCAAGATTTCTTCGGCTATTTCAGTCTGCTGTGGTGATGCTCCAGTTTTAGGGTTGTTTATTTGAGTTCTGTGAAGACTGAAATTGGAATTTGATAAGGACTGAGTTGAATTCTGTAAACTGCATTTAGCAGTATGGAAACTTTTATATAAATCCTTCCAATCCATGAAGGTGAAGTCCTTCTATGTTTGCGTTCTTTCATCAGTGCTTTGTAACTGCCGCTGTGGAGGCCTTCTGCTCCTGGTTAAGTTTACCACGAAGTGTGCTGTTTTTCTGTGGCTGCTGGGGGTGGAACTGCTTTGCTAATTTCTTTCCCAGCAAGGCCATTAGTCGTGTATAGAAAAGCTACGCACGGCTGTATTTGTGTTGGCTCGTGCTAGTTCGCTGAATTCATGTATCAGCTCTAATGGTCTTTTGGGGGAGTCTAGGCATTCTGTGTGCAGTCTTGTCCCAGCACACGGGCAACTGTGGCCTCTGCCTTCCCAGCCACGTGCCTTCTATTCATCTCGTTTGCTTCATTGTTCTGGCTGGAATTCCAGCACCAGAGTAGAGAAGAATAATGAAATCCTCATCTTCTTCTAGATCTTAAAGAAAATGGCTAAGCATGGTGGTATATGGTGTAATCCCAGCACTCTGGGAGGCTGAGGCAGGAGGACCGGAAGCAGAAGCTCAGCTGGGAAACTCGGTGAGACCCTGTCCCAGAAAGGCCCTTGGTTTCAGCGCCCAGTGCTGGATGGCGGGGCATGGGAAGGCAAGGCGAGGGCAGTGCTGAGCTCCTGGCTGGCTTTCGGCGGCATCCTAGGCTAGCTGTGGTGTCAGGGCAGTGCCGGCCTTGCCGGGTGAGCTGGGCGAGTTTCCTCCCTTCCCAGTTCTTGAAATAGTTGGTAGTGAGTCAGCGTCCGTTCTTCCAGTCTGGTAGGTTTTAGCAATGAGCCCACCTGATCCCAGGTTTTTCTTTCCTGGGAGAATTTTCATTATTAATTAAATATAGCTGCTGGTTATCAGTCTGTTCACACTTTCTGTCTTTGTGGTTTAATTTGGATAGGTTATTTGTCTAGAAATGTACCCTTTTCTCCCAGGTGTTCCCATTCATTGTCTTACCGTTATTCACAATGTGCCCCAGAGCTTATTCATGTTATTGTTGTATCAGTTGTAACGTCTCATTTTTCATCTTTAAATTTGATTTTTGAGGTCAGTTTTCTTCTTTAGCTTGATTAGACTAGGTAAAGATTTGTCCATTTTAGCTTTCTTTTCAGAAAACCAACACTTTATTTCATTGATCCTTTGGATATGTTTTGGTCTCTGTTTTTTATTTCTATTTTGATCTTTGTTATCTAGGCTTGCACTAATTTGGGAGCTGGGTTTACTGTAGGCGTTTATTGCTATAACTTTCCCTCTCAGTACTTTTCAGTTGCAGTCCACAAAGTTTTGGTATGTTTCAAGACATTTTAAATTTTCCTTTATAGTTTTAATGGCCCACTGTTTAATAACGTGTTGTCTAATTTCCAAATTTTGTTTAATTTCTAAAATTTATTCCATTCATAATTTCAGTTTGATTCTTCCAGGTTTATTCTGTTGTGGTGAATACCATTCATAAAATCATTTTGTTTTTCCAAAACTGGTTAAGCCTTATTTTCTCCACCTATGGCCTGTAATGGAGCGGCTCCGGGCACAGTGAGATGGGTGTGTTTTCTGCAGCCGTTGGATGGGATGTTCTATGAAGTTCTCTTGGGCCACTTGGTCTGCAGTGTAGTTCATCTGTCATGTTTTCTGGTTGAAAAACATTACTTGTATGAATGATCTGTCCTTGGATGAAAGTGGAGGGTTGGAATCCCTGAATATGATTATGCTATCATAGTCCGTCTCTCCCCTTAGAGATAATGCTTGTTTATAAAAGTAGTGTTCAAGCAGCGGGCTCACGTGTATTGACAGTTGCTAGACCCTGAGTTGACCTCTCATTCATTATGCAGAGACCTTTTTGTCTCTTTTTAAAGTTTTTATCTTCATGTCTATTGTACTGCGAGGATAAATTGACACAAACGCAGGTCCTCTGTCTGCTCTTGGTAGGCACTTGGACGCGTCCTTCCTGGTGGAGCAGCGTTCTGTAGGCAGCAAGTCATGGGTCCTGTTGTTCTCTCTGTTCGGCCAGTTTATATCTTTTAATCAGACAGCTTCGTTCCTTTCCATTTGATGTTTCCACTGATGTGTAAGAAGGACCTCTATGTCTTTCCTGCTTTTCTTCTGTTTCCCTTGACTCTCCTTTCTTCTTTCATCCTTTTCTTGTTGTCTTTGTGCTGGGGAAGCTTTTCCGTACCCACACACTGTTCTTTCTTCTCTTGTGCCCATGCGCTAGTGAGCTCGCCACTCAGCATGTCTTCCCACGCCAGCCGTCTTCTCCCTCCTAGCGCGGCCTCCCCATGTGGAGCCGTTCTGGTGCACAAGAGCAAGGGGCTTTTCTAGAAGCTAACCAAACCAGGTCGCTTTGCTCTTCTGTGCAGCGTCTGAATCCTTCCCACCTTAGGCAGAGCTCCGGCCCTCCAGGGCGTCAGAGCAGGCTCCCCGTCTGCATGTTCATCTCACTTCCGCTCAGACTCCTCTGCTGTCCCGATCCCTGCACCATGCCTACATCATGGAAGCATTTCCTGCCTCAGCTCAACATGCACCATCCCATGGTATACTTAAATTCCTGTCTTGCTTCCACCTGCCAAAATTTAGACCTGAAAGAAAGAGAAATTTTCTTTATTTTTGCTTACTGAATATAACTGTTATCTGACACATAGTGGCAAATATTCATTGAAGTAGTGAATGACGTCACATGAGTGAGTGATGGACGTCACTGTTCCCTTGTGGGGTTTCTATTTGTTCCCCACAAAGTACATTTTCAAGAAAATGTTATATCAGAAAGTTACCATGACTGGGCCAGGGAGATAGCTCAGTGGTCGAAGCGCCTGCCTGACAGACACAAGGACCCCAGTTCGAGCCCTGGTGCTGCAGGCCATGCTGGCCCTGGAACTCTGGGCATGCTGTACCAGCCCCAAAACCAGGCCTGGTGGTACACATCTGTAATCATAGCTCTGGGGACTCTGAGACAGGAGGATCACTAGGAGTCTAAACTGCATAGTGAGACCCTGAATCCAATAAATAAATACATACATTTTTTTTTTAAATAATGAAGTAGGAGCCAGGGAGATGGCTCAGTAGAATAAGTGCTTCCCTGGCAAGTGCAAGGGCCTGAGTTCAATCCCCAGTTCTGCCAAAAATAAATAAATAAATAAATAAAATTTTTTTAAAGAAAATTACCGTGACTATTTCTGCACTGGCCATATTCAAATGTTTCCTTCACATAGACAAATAGACTAAATGCAGCCTGGATGCTCTCTGAGATTTTGGTGCGGCTGCGGCCGCCCGGCGCTGAGGGGTCCGATCTGTCCGCAGGTCCTGGAGCTGCAGAGCCCGCCGCGGGCCAGCGTGGTGGTGAAGGACTGCGTCCGCGCCTGCCTGGACGCCACCTACAAGTACATCTTCGACAACTGCCACGAACTCTACCTCCAGCTCACAGACCCGGTAAGACGGGTGTGTGCTTTCCGACCGCTGCTTTTCTGCTCCTCACGTTTGCGTCCAGGAATCGGCAAGGACACTGAAGGGGAAACTCGGCTGGCTCATTCCCGGCTAGCTGCGGCGCGAGAATTTCCGCACCGTTTCTTGGGCTTGAGCGTCCCTTTCGCACACGCGGCCTGGGGCAGCTCGCTCTGCCCCGCTCTCAGAGCCGGCCTGTGCGCAGGGAAGGCCGCCTCGCTGGGCAGGCGTGGGGTCGGATCGGCCTGGACAGAGCAGGCTCTCCCGGGCCTCGCGGCGGGTGAGCAGAGGAGCGGCCGGCGCGCCCCGGGTGCCCCCGGGCTGGGCGCTCCCCTGAGCGCTGACCTCGTGAGCGGGACGAGGGTACTTCTCCCTGGAGCAAGGCAATTAAGTCGTGTAATGTACCGTTTACTTAAGAAACAGTTCAGAAATGCAAAAGGAGAAAAGCCCAGAGTGAGTCGGTCAGACGCGCGCCTCCCGCGGCTGGCCGAGCCCCACCGACGCGACGCGCCTCGGTCGCTGTCCCCTCGGCCACTGCCGAGATCGCTGTCCCCTCCGGCCGGCCGCTGCCGCGGTCGCTGTCCCCTCCGGCCACTGCCGAGATCGCTGTCCCCTCCGGCCGGCCGCTGCCGCGGTCGCTGTCCCCTCCGGCCACTGCCGAGTCGCTGTCCCCTCCGGCCGGCCGCTGCCGCGGTCGCTGTCCCCTCCGGCCACTGCCGAGGTCGCTGTCCCCTCCGGCCGGCTGCTGCCGCGGTCGCTGTCCCCTCCGGCCACTGCCGAGGTCGCTGTCCCCTCCGGCCACTGCGCCGGTCGCTGTCCCCTCCAGCCACTGCCGAGGTCGCTGTCCCCTCCCGCCCCTGCCATGGTCGCTGTCCCCTCCGGCCGGCCGCTGCCGCGGTCGCTGTCCCGGCATCTGGCGCCGCCCTTTGCAGAGATGAGCAGGCCATCGCGCTAGAGAGCGGACCTGCCCCTGGACTTATGTCTTACTGTCTCGAATTACCTATGGGTTTCTTCTTTAGATTTTGAAGAAATTCAGTCGTATTTTGTCATATGTGTAGGTTAGAGTCCTAATCGTGGGTGTCCGCAGTTCGCAGTGACTGCTTTCCTTGGGAGGCCCGGACCCCGTGCAGAGCGCGGCCGCCGCGCCCCTTCCCCACCCGCCACTTGGTCCCCTCCCGCGGGCAAAGGCTCTGTCTGCTGCGTTGCTCTTCGTCTGATGTGAGTGTCTCCTGTGAGAGAGGCCACGAGATCCCTGAGCGGTGTGCCTGCTTTATGTATTCCGCTTAGCAGGACGAGCTCAAGGAGCTGTATGTCCTTGCAGATGACTCGTTTACCCTCCTTTTTGGAAGATTAGCACTCATTGGGTATAAAATCACCTGCTGTTGCAATGCTGACTTTATTCTCTGGGACTGCTTGAATTTTATTTAATTTGCAGGAAATTCTAAGACGAGTTTGCAGGTCGTCGTGTGTGTGGGCTGCGTGGCCTTGTGTGTTGCTCCCCTCTCCACGGCGTGCCTTTCTTTTGGCCCTGGGGCTTTAGACGCACACTCTGATACACGCGTTGTCACCGCTTCTGCCACCCGGTATTCGGGTTGACTCCGGGCCACCCAGTGCCCATTCCCTTCCACCCCTGCACACACGACTGTGTGTGGCCCCCGGAAGCTTCTGGTCACATGGGCGAGGCGTTGGGTGAAAGCAGTGGTGCCCTTCCACGCAGCACTGAAGTGGCTGGGTCATGGGCCAGTGCCCCTTTCTGAACCACTGATTTCTTGCATAACAGTAGAAAAACAAATAATGCTGGCCACTGGGATTGCATAAGGAGAACAAAACATGGCCACAGGCCTGCCACTGTGTCTATCAGCTGTGCTGAGTGCTCCCAGTCCAAGAGCTTGGCACTCTGGACTCCTGGCATTAAAGTGGCTGGAGCTTTGCCACTGGCTTCCTCTCTTATGGCTTCCTGTTGTCTTTATTCTCTGAAGAGTATTCTACAGTTTTAACATCCTTGTCTTTCTTTTACCTAAAGGATGAAGTCCAAACTTCTTCTACGTAGCCGAGAGGCCGCAGTGGTCAGGCCAGGGTCACTGGACAGAAATAGCATACTTAAGTCGCCTCCAGGGTCAGGGCTCTGCAGAGCTCATCTGATAGGCTGGTGCTGAGGGCAGCCGGGTGAGCAGACCCAGCCAGGCGAAGCAGAGGAGGAAGCCCTGAGTGGCTCAGAGTGACTAAAGTACTAAGGGAGGGAGGCTTGCGCGGCTGGCCACGGCAAGGCCCTGCTACAGTTGGTGCTGTGAAGACTATGCAGGGACCTCAGGGCAGTCTGAGCAGAGTTGGCCAGGAGAGACTCTCCTTCGCCCTGGCCTGTCACTTCACAGCAGGAGGGAAGCAAATGGCCAAAGCAAACTGGTTCCCTAACCTGGTGTCTTTCGGCACAAGCGTAGTGGTGAATAAATCAATTAAATAGGTACTTGCTTGCTTACTTTGTACCAGGATCTTGTTGAACTCAGGATCTTGTGCTTGCCAAGCAAGCGTTATGCCCCTGAGCTATATCCTAGCCCTAAGCAGTTTATTTCTATAAGAAAACTTTAAAGGCATTGACTATAAATCAAGTACTCCTTTGTCATGTATACCATGCATGACAAAATGTAAATAAGTTGTAGCATAGCTCTGTAAATCAAATATAGATTAATATTTTCTAATTTGCTTTCAGATATTTATAAACTTTGTACTGCATAGTTTTCTTTCCAGGAAGGTAGATATGAAGTCTTGTCTATGGAGAGTGCTTGGAGCCAAGCTCTGTTTACAAGACTTTGTCATAGGCAGAGCTGTTGTTTGCAGCTAGGGGAGGGGCCCCAGGGTCTGAGCGACAGGGCGGGCCAGAGCTCCACACCCCTCTGGGTCCGAGGAGGAGTCTCAAGACCAAGCATCGCCCCCCTCTGTGAACAGCCACTCCCTTATCCCCACCAGCTTCTGGCTGTGTGCTTCATGTCACGCATCTGACCTGTCTCTAGATTCCAATGGTTTTGCCCGCAAAATCAGCACCTCCATTTCAGGTGCATGTGGAGCCCACTGTGTCATCAGCTCCGTGCTTCTCCCCACTGCTCACTGAAACCATGAGGTCTCTTCTCTGTGGCTGTCCACACTTCACCCCAGCCCTCAGGTCTGTGCCCAGCACAGCAGCTAGAATCAGCCTTCCCATCATAAGTCTCATAGGGTGACCCACCTGCCTCACATTCATGTGCGATGTGGCCCCCAAGGCCCTGTGGCCAGGCTCCTGTCCCCTGCACAGCATTCTGGCCACGCCCTCCATGCAGGCCTCTCTCCAGCCCACAGCACAGCATCATGGACAGGCTGCCCCGTGCCACAGCGGTAGCCTTGCCTCTCTGACGCCCAATGCAGTTCAAAGCAGAGCTGCCGACTGACAGTGAGTGCGTAGATGTGGATGCACCTTGGGGGACACAAAAGAATCTCCAGGTGTGTGTGGAAATGAGACAGAAAGGAGCGCTTATTCCCGTGGGCTGTGCTGCCCTGGGGGTGCAGCAGGTCCCGGCAGCGAGCCCCAGGCAGGAATGGGGGCCACTTTCGCAGCCCAGCCTGCAGTGTCTTCCCGCTCTGTGCTCTGCAGTGACAGCAAGGACACAGGTCCCTGATGGACAGCTCTGCTAGAGGAGATGCCCTTGAGAGCAGTCTTTGGGTATTTTTAAGAAATTATTCCTTGCTGCATGAAGCCACTGACAGTAGAGATTTGTCTGTTACCACAGAGTAAACTGGATTTTGACTAATTCGCCTTTAAATCCAGTCCCATCTATCATATAAACTATTTAAGCTGAAGCTGTTCCCTTAGAGATGCATACCCAACTCTTCCCCATGGTAGGAAGGCTCTGCACAGCCGAGCCCTGGCCGCCCTCACTGCCCCGTCACCACGGTCAGAAGGCCCTGCACAGATGAGCCCTGGCCGCCCTCCCTGCCCCATCACCATGGTCGGAAGGCCCTGCACAGCCGAGCCCTGGCCGCCCTCCCTGCCTGTCCCCATCCAGCAGTGTCTGCCAGCACACCCTATGCTCTGTGATGTCTCTCTCACAGTGCATCCCACTCCGCAGCACACCATGCCCCCAGGGTAACGCCCACCCAGGAAGCCTAGGTGACCTTTCCCGGCCGGCTCAGGTGCCTCTGCTCCCTGTGCACATGTCCCCAGCAGTGTGACAAACTGCTCACAAGGCCTGTCCGAGGGCATCTGTCTCACCTGTCTTTTCCACTAGACTGTGAGCTTCATCTTTAATTTTCCCCCGCACAGGGGTGCACGTAACTCAGAATAGGGTGAGGAGTGGACTAATTATCTAATAAGAGAGGGGCTGGTAAGATAGCTCAGCAGGCTAAGCAACTACTGAGGCAGGCACAGGGACCAGGTCGGTCCCTGGCACCACATGCCATGCAGGCCCTGACCCCTGACGTGCTGAGCCCGCCACCAAGCCCATGCATGGTGGCGCATCCCTGTAATCCCAGCACTGGGGAGGCTGAGCCAGGAGGATCACTATGAGTCTGAGCTACGTAGCGAGATCCTATACCAAATACATTAAAATGAATAAATAAGACAAACTGTAAAGATAGCATCAGCTCAATTGGTTATGTATGGTCTCCTTCAAGGATGTGACTTAAGGCCTCCAGTCAAGGACGCGGCCTCTAGCATCACAGCCCTGAGCGCAGCCCCAGTTCTACTGCTCAGTCCCGTGGTCTGAGGTGACACACTTAGCACTCTCTGCCCAGAGTCATCATTGAGGTGGAGTTTCCACTTCAGCATGACCTGAGTGCCCCCTGGACGGCACAGTCCCTGGAGCCAAACTCAAGAATTGCGAGGCCGTTGGACACAGTGCAGTTCTGATCGTTGAAATGTAGAAGCATGCATTCTCTCTCCAAAGGAATTGTGAAGAACCATCTAAAAGTAAACTCCTTGGAATAAAAAGAGGAGACTTATTTTTGTAGAGAAGTCAAAA